GCCTGGGCCAATATTTGGATTTGGTTTTCAGTCCCTGCCTGATACCGTGGGTTTCCCCAGAATATCACTTTGTTTTTACTCCAACCTCTGACAATGTAATTTTTTCTCATTGTCTTCTGTCTACGGGTTCTTTCATGCTTGTGAGCTAAAGTGCGTAGTGCACTTTTGAGGAATCCTTTTTACTCTCATGCTTAAATGAAATATCATTCACGAGTACATGCAATAGTTTTTTAGGTTTCTTTCATATTCTAAATAAAACAATACCACAAGAACAATAACTTTCCTATTCTACTTCAATGTTTAACAATATGATATCACAAAAAAACCAGTTTTTGCACTTTATTTTTGTGCTTGAATAAAACTGAAGTTTGCAAAACTGTGTTTAACACCATGTTTCAGCTACAGGTAAGAATGCCATTTTAAAAATTAAGGGGATATCCCCTTAATTTTTTTGTGAGGTGATACACGTAGGATAACAATGTTGATCAGACAATTTTGAAAATTAATTTTGGAAGGTGCTATTCCCTTTACAAAAACAAACAGACACTGGAATTCCTTTGGCCCTTCCATATAAATGTATGGATTTGGGAAATTATTCTAATTTTGCTGGCAAATTGGGTAAACTGTTGTATTGTAAAACTGTTGCTTTCATAAACAATAGTGTTATCATATTAAGAGTATAATAATTTGCCTTTTTTACTTTCATGCTTTACATTTACAGTGCAATATTATTAGAGTACAGCACTCTGTTTACATGCATGTTTAACCAAAATACGAGCACAATTTTGTATATGTTACTTTCGTGTACAATGATTTTCCCACTTTAGACCTTACAACAAGTTGTCAGCAATACAGCACATTGAAATATCACGAGTACAATTATTTGTTTACGCTACTTTTGTGTACTAAATAATACCAGGATTATTGTCTCTTATCTACATTTAAGTTCATTAATAACGGTCATGTTATTAATAAATGTACGAAAGAATAATACCAGAACAATAATTGTCCTACTTCAACGTTTAACAATATGATATCAGAAAAAACAGCACATACCACAATAAGCGCAGAGTGCAACTCTTTGCTTACATTACCTTTGCGTAAAAACCAATATCGGGAGTACAGTAATTTACCTACTTAACATTCAAATTCAGCAATATGATATCAGAAAAAAATAGCAAATACCACAATAAGCGCAGAGTGCAACTCTTTGCTTACATTACCTTTGCGTAAAAACCAATATCACGAGTACAATTATTTGTTTACGCTACTTTTGTGTACTAAATAATATCAGGATTACAATAATTTTCTCTTATCCACTTTTAAGTTCATTAATTAGCGGTCGTATTATTAATAAATGTATATACGAAGGAATAATACCAGAACAATAATTTTCCTACTTCAACACCTAACAATATGATATCAGAAAAAAAAACAGCACTTTGTTAATGTTTTAATGTAACACCACAATTTACCTACATGTACAAAACATTCAAATTTATCAATGCATCAGCAATGCAGTAGTTTATTGGCATTTTACTTGCATGGTTTATAATTATAAAATATCACAATAATTTGTTTAATGAATCTAATTACATTGTATATGTACAAAACAATTCCAGTACAACAATAATTGTCCTTTTTTACGTCAACGTTCAACAATATGATATCAGAATATCATATTGTTAAATTTGTTTTGCGATAATTTTGTATAAAAAGAAATCCAGAATTGGATAATGTTTCTTCTTGTTTTCAAGTTGAACAATGTGATATCAGTAATGCAGTACCTTGTCCTCTACGGAAATTTTTATAAATGAAATATCCGGAATTTGATGATGTTCCTTCTTTTTTTCATGTTCAACATATGTGATATCAGTAATGCAGAACCTCGTGCTCTACGGTCATTTTTTAATGAAATATCACGAGGACAACAGTTAGATTTTTACTATTTTCACATGTACAGAACTATACCAGGAGAACAATACATTTTATACCTTTACTTTCACGTTTAAAAATACAGTAGGAGAAGATCTATAATTTGCAAACTTGCATTTTTTCTCAATGTCAGGTGTACAATAATTGTGCAGATTACTTTTTGTTCAATAATGCAATATAGCAAAAAATACAGCACTTTGTTTGTACTCTACGCTCATGCTTAAATGAAATAGTATACTTGTAAATCATTTTGCTTACCTGACTTTAATGTAAAAAAAAAACCATAATATTACTTAAATTCATATTTAACAATGCAGTACAGGAGATATATACATATATTTTGTTCAATTTTAATGTGGCCATTGTTCAATGTTATATCAAGAGTACACAACAGTGGTTTTTTCATGTTTAACAACTTAAAGGTACAGCAATGTGTGTAGTATTCTTTCATCGTTTCATAATACACAATGCAATATTAAGTATAACGATAATTATTACTTAAATTCAGTTCTTTCTTCTTTCTTTTATTTTCCTAATATACTCTACTTGTATTCACCGTGCAAGAGTATGATTTCAGACGTGAATTGCTCTGACGGCTTCCAACCAAATATTGTTCGTTCAACGTTTTGTTGTAGATTGTCAAAACCCATTCCCCCCCCCTCATTTTTGTGGTACTTTTATTTTACGCGTCCACCCATTCATGCGTCAACTTATCTTTCATTGTATGACGTATACAAACTTTCCTCATATCACCCCCCCGTATTATTCCTGCGCATAGTCTTGTGTCAAACAATAGTACTCAACAGGTGGAATGACGAGTTTACTCATTGCGTCGCACTGTATACTACATTTGGGTCGAGTTACGCAACATGGGTATAAATGCGGGTCATGGATATTGACGCTAATACACTTGTAAAGATTTGTTATGTTGAGCAAAAAGAGATCAGATACGATCAAGATTCCTTAGAGACCAGAGTAGTCACAGAGAGAGAGAGAGAGAGTGTGTGTGTGTGTTTGCCAAAAATGAATTAAGGTTGAAGTGTATACATACATACATGTAGACAGATGACATGATCCAGGGATCTGATACATCAGTAACATTCACTTACTGATTGTCGGTTTGGTGCCGGTTTGGCACAATGGTCAGTTCCGAAATTCACCAGCCCAATTTTTGAACTTCAGTCTGGTATAGCAGCACCCATCCTGTAGCCGTTGCAAGTGAGGACCAAGTCCAATAACCATTTGTTGATCGATGAAGTGTATCATAAGAAGTGAATGTAATGATAAGATTTGAGAAAAATGCAAAAAAAATAATCTCTCTGGTCCTTATCGAAATGTGGCTTACAGTTACAGTTAAGATCGTTTTTGTTTATAATGAAGACTGATTTGCAATGAAACTGTTATAAAATGAATGTTCAAATCTTGACTGCGTATTGTATTTGTGGTAAAAGAATCTGGAGACCGTATGCTGCCCAAAATCTGTTTAGATTGAGTCTACAATTTGTATTGGGTTGTCCCACACCACTCTGTAGCCAGATAACTGACCCGTGCAAGAGCCAGTGAGGTGTAGTGAGTCGTGCCAGGGCCAGCGAGGTGTATTGAGACGTGCCTGAGCCAGTGAAGTGTAGTGAGTCGTGCCAGAGCCAATGAGGTGTAGTGAGTCGTGCCAGAGCCAGCGAGGTGTAGTGAGACGTGCCTGAGCCAGTGAGGTGTAGTGAGTCGTGCCAGAGCCAGCGAGGTGTAGCGAGTCGTGCCTGAGCCAGTGAAGTGTAGTGAGTCGTGCCAGAGCCAGTGAGGTGTAGCGAGTCATGCCAGAGCCAGTGAGGTGTAGCGAGTCGTGCCAGAGCCAGTGAGGTGAAGTGAGTCGTGCCATAGCCAGCGAGGTGTAGTGAGTCGTGCCAGAGCCAGTGAGGTGTAGCGAGTCATGCCAGAGCCAGTGAGGTGTAGTGAGTCATATCAGAGCCAGCGAGGTGTAGTGAGTCGTGCCTGAGCCAGTGAAGTGAAGTGAGTCGTGCCAGAGCCAGTGAGGTGTAGCGAGTCATGCCAGAGCCAGCGAGGTGTAGCGAGTCGTGCCAGAGCCAGTGAGATGTAGTGAATCTTGCCAGAACCAGGTAGGTTTAGTGAGTCGAGCCAGAGCCAGTGAGATGTAGTGAGTCGAGCCAGTGAGGTAAAGTGAGTTGTGCCAGAGCCAGTGGGATGTAGTGAGTCGTGCCAGAGCCAGTAGGGTATAGTGAGTCGTGCCAGAGCCAGTGAGGTGTAGTGAGTCGTGGCAGAGCCAGTGATCAGGTGTAGTGAGTCGTGGCAGAGCCAGTGAGGTGTAGTGAATCGTGCCAGAGCCAGTGAGTCGTAGTGAGACAAAGGTCTACCGCTACCCATACGGAGTGAGTGCCCGCGAGTGATGGCTGCACTCTGAGGACTGCCTGGCGAGTCCATATAGTGGGGATCAGACTTATTGTCGATTCATATAAAAGCTTGATCAAATTGAGTAAATACAGAATTATGAAGCTGTGAAGTAACTGGTGTATTTGTGTTTTATGAAGACTAAACTAATAAGTATAACTCGAGTATTGTGATATAATTGATTAATAATTGATGGAAAAGAATATGCATACCCATAACCATTTTAAATGTATATACATGTACATGTATAGTGTAAAACGAATGTTATAATAATACACAAAGCTCCAGCAAATTCCACGTGTATTCATTTCTGTGATAGTGTATATAATGTAAACAAATATTTGTAAATACAAGTGGTCTCTTTAATTTGGACGTTAGAGTTGAAATAAATCCCTGGGCCACCACAATCAAGTAAAGTTGAGAGTTAGTTTGTATAGATCAAGCCCGAATTAAAATAGGTGATGACATTGATGATGTTGAAGATGTGTATGGGTTGTTGTTGCTGCTGTTCTTTTTGCAATCCTGTCGGGGAATGGAAATCACCTCTTTCCAGGATTGTTTTGTTGGTTGATATATTGATATATGCTGAAAAAGGCCACCAGCTTGTTAAGTGCTTCGTGTTTTGTCATGCATGTACACTAACTCAATAACTAAACTTGTAGCTTTCAATGTGAGAAAGGCAGCCATTGGAGCATTGAAAAAGAAAATTTCCAAGTGCTCTTCGCCCCTTTGTTCTTGTATTTCTGTGGAATGGGGGCAGTCGTCTCTTTGAATGCTACGTTTCTGGCAGAGTGTGAGATGGAAATTCCATCAAAAAGATCTTTCAATGTTTGTCCCATATGCTTAAGGCCAAAGAGCTCTTTCTGAAGCTTCATCACTTCCTCTGGAGTGTGTATGTTTTCGCCACCATCTTCATCGATTGCCTGATCCAAGATTCTCCTTTCGTATTCATATTGTCTCTTCATGTCTTCCATTGTAGTCAGAAGAGTGTCATTTCGGATTGCCTTTGGTTTGTTTCTCTCGTGTTCAATAGACATGTCAAGATAGTCCCCAACTGCATCATTGTAGGGTATGAGAGCATTTGCTTTGAGGAATGAGCCATACTTGGCGCTAGTTTTCATGATGATTTTTTCCTCTTCCTTCAATTCCGCAATTTTTGTATCAATTGCTTCTTTGAAAGCTTTCTTGGTTTCTCTAGCACTTTTCTTCTGATTGATTTGTGTTTGAACTTCTTCAGAAAGGAATTCCCTGGGGAAAACCTGCAGGTCATACGTCATGTGCATATGAGCGGTGTAATGGTGACCACACTTCGTACAATTAGTCCCGCGTATGCAGGCACAACCCTGTAGTCTTGCGTCATTTGTTGTTTGCGTTGGAATTCCGCTTAGACCACAATGCGGATGGCATTTTTGCTCGTATATTGTGTTTTGCGTACTACTCGCACCGATTGGGACATATCTGACACATTTTGAATCGGCACACACTGTTCTAGGATAGCTTAGCTCCAGGCGCTTCAGGTCAAATCCAGAAAATTTCAGATTGGCTTTCAAGCTGTCCATATCTCTGTCGACCAGGTCAATTTGTGTCTTTGCTTCGTTGCCTTCCTGTACATTTTGTTGGATTGTCTTGGCCACTTCTGCCAAAGGTTTGCTCATGGCCAAGATGATTCTTCGAGCCTCATTCATACTCAAAGTGTTCCGAATATTGTGAGGCCTCAAAGAGCTGATGTGCTCAAATAGCTTCTTGGTTTCTTCAACAGACCTGTTCCAGCTTTCAGCATAAGTGTTTATCTCCCCTTGGCTGAATTCCACCCCGCTTTTCACACAAGCCAAAAAGCGGAAAGGCTCGTTATCAAAACAGAAGTAGTTGCTTGGGGTAGCTTGAATTCCAACCTGTTTGTTCTCGAGCTCTTTGTTGAGGGCGGGCAAGGTGTCTCCCGGCTGGTAGAAAGTAGCTCGAGCATTGGTGAAGCAAAACACAATATTGTTTTTAGCCGACGAATGCAGATGGGCCAGGAGTTCTTGGATACAAAAGCGGAACATCGCTGTTAGACGTGAATTGTTCGGCTTGAGAAGTATGCACACAGCATGAATCTCCTGGTAGTAGGTCAGATACGATAGTATGCTGTCAAAGTTTTTCCGATCTTGTTGTATACCTTCACTATCTCCTATTCCTGGTGTGTCAATCAAGCGAACGATTTCCCCTCCTACATGGAAGACATAGGAACGAGGCTCTTTGGTTGCAGATTTTCCGGCTTCCATGTTCTCATTGGTGTCACTTTCCCCAACCATTATCTTCTTTTCCTTCCCGTGTTGTGTAAAGGTGAAACTGGACGGTATTAAAACGTGGAACTCCTTGGCATGCATAGCTTCCTCAAGATCAGCATAATAAAGGTAGTTAATAAAACCGTTGATCCACGTAGATTTTCCAACGCCTGTTTCACCCAGGATCAAGATGTTTCTCTCCTTCAAGGCCCGAAGATTTGACAACTCCGCAGAGAGAATATCGTGTTGATACTTGACGTAGTTCATGCCGTGCTCCTTCTCATTACAACGCCAGAATGATTTGTCGGGGTCAGATTTTCCGCATTTGCAGTAAAACAGTTTAGTTTCTATGCCATACTCAACCAACTCTCTGCATCTGGAACACTTCCAAGTGACAGGGTCACCTGAACATTGACCATTTCCGACCAAAGCATTTGGGCATCTTAGCTGAAGATGTGCTCGGTTGTTTGGGCGTGTTTGCAGGTAGAGTGGTTTAGTGATTTGTATCAGACACATCTCAGAGTCTTGGCCTTCTTTGGCGTACAGGTCTTCCGATGTTCGACGACCGTCTACAAAGCTATAAATGGTTGTCTTCTTTATGCGTGATGGCCAAATATCCTCTCTAAGGTCTTGGTCCACAACTTTGAATTTGTAGTCCTCCTCATGAGCATGTGTTTTTTGTAGTCGCAAAAAAAACTCCTGATTTTTCTCATCAAGATCGTTCTTTACATTCTCTTCGCCAGTCTTGTAGAGCGCGTAGACCATTCTGCTGTCGTCCATGGTGACTTCATCTTTTTTTCCGATGTAGATTATTCCTTTCTTCTTCCATGATTGGATAGATTTTAGCTTGTTCAGATCTTTTTGAAACCCTCTAATGTGATTTTTGTACCTGGGAATGGAAAATGTCTCAAATAATTCTTCACCCACGAATGCCTCGATTTCAGAGACATCTACACTTCCCGACTTGACGTTCTTCACCAAATTTTGAAGCCCAGACTTAAAACCAGATTCTTGCACAATGAACTCGTTTAAGATATCATCAATCCTAGCTAGAGATCCTTCAGCGACATATTCGGCGCTGGCATGCAGATCATTTTGAATATCGTAGAGGGACTGTCTCTTATTGGTGATTCCCTCCACAACCTGTGCACACTTTTTGATGATGTCGTCATTGATTGATGTGTATTGTATTTGAAGTTGTATCTGGAGCCTACACATCTTGACGACGGCATCCAGTGGCATCAACATGTACAGCAATGGAACCCCCTTCCCTTTGTTTGTATCTTTAACTAGACTTGGAAGATTTCGCGCTAGTTCAACAGCACCTTCGAATGTCACAGGTAGATCCTTGTCAGGAGCCGACACATCCGCTTTGCATTTGAAGGTAAATTTGTTATGATTTCCTTTGTTTTTATCACCATATGATGCTTTTGCAGACCCTTTGACATCAACCAAAACTTTGAGTTTTTCAAGTTCTGCGCTCAAGGCCCCTTTGACTTCAGTAACATTTTCATCTTCTTTGTTTTCATACTCACAGGTAACCGAGCAAACTGCTCCCCAATCGATAGCAACAACCACATGGGTTGCATCTACGGTTTGCCCATTTGAAGGTGACAGAATTTCCAGGTCGATCTTATCTTTATTCTGGCGAAGCATGATCTCTTCATTAACTGTTCTCAGCTTGTAGATTAGACTCATGCTTTGAGCTCTAGCGCTCTTTTTTTCCTCCTCTAGGTAGGATCCTGATCCACTCAACTTGATCAGGCCGGCCAATAAACTCACCTGAAGCTCTGCCTCTACATTCAGTTTGCTGAATTTTTCCTGTAGGTTGTCTGACATCACAAGCTCTATCGAGGTGTCGCCAAGATCCATTGTATCAACTGTATCGTCTTCAAGCTTTGAGCCAAACAGAGTATCACCCTGAAAAAGAAGAAATGATTGCTGTTACAACTGATAATGTAGTAACCAACGGATAATGTATCACCAACGGATAATGTCACATAAATTAACCGCTACTGTATCACTAACTGATAATGTAACACAAAATTGACCTATAGTGTAGTAAAATGTACTACACTATCAGTCAAACGTTGTTACATTATCAGTCCCAACCGATAACGTAGCAAAAATTGACTGATAGTGTAGTAACATTTACTACAGTATCCGTCATTTTTTGACACATTATCGGTTAGTGATACAATATCGATCAATTTGTGTGACATTATCAGTTAGTGACACGTTATCAGTAAGTTACTACATTATCAGTTGTAACAAATGCCATGTTAGATTTTGTTCATTTCTTAAATGTTTATTTAAATGTTTCTTCATACCACATGAGAGTTACGATAAGGCAAGGAAAACATTGAGGCCATTGATGAGGCCATACATGTATAAAGAATACAACCGATCCAATCATATGATGTCCGCATACCTTAGAATAAATGAACATTTTGGAAATTCGTATATTTGCATAAAAAAATCAAAATTTCAACCAATCTCAGTTACACGTTTTGATGCCACTGAATTTTGATACAACTAAATGTCAATCTACGACTACAACTGTTCATGGCATGGCCATGGGTGCACACCGGTAAAATTGGGGAATTGAGATATGGCAATGGACCTCTGGCCCGGACTTGGGGTTTCCATTTCTGAGCATTTTGGATGCAATTGAGCTCGAAAGTGGCGCTCTTTTGCCATGTTGTGGATGGGTTGTTTTTCAAGATGGCTGCTTTTCCGCTTTGGGGGAATATAGGGATCGTCCTCTTTAGGTGAGAATATCCCTAAAAGTTATTTGTCAAACCTCCGAAAATGAAAAGAAAATGAAAGATGACATGTTGATCATCATCTTTCTCTGCAGCTAAATACCTTTGAGAGTTTTGAAGTAGGTCTATGGGCATTTAGCACTAGTGTCTATGGGAATTTTAATACCGGGTTGCACCCTATAGAGAATAACAAAAAAATGGCTGCCCTGCACATGCGCTATGCCCCGGCAGTGAATTTTCAGTGGGCGGAACCTATGGGGGGGAACAAAAGTATTTAAAAGGTATCAACAAGCGCTGTTCTGCAACAGATTCTCCCAAATCGTAAGGGAGCCGTCGGCCATCGACCGATTACAGCAACTGCGTATTAAAAAAAAAGGGGGGGGGGCATTGTGAGCTTTAAAGTAGCTGAAACTCGATTTGTTGTTGGGGGCGCTCTACAGCTAGCAGGTGCAAAAAGCGGCCCTATTTTCAGGCCTAATATCTACCTCGAATAAGTTTTTTTGATGGAATATGAATAACCGATACTTCCTCTTTGCCCTAGAAGTGGTTGTGGGGGGCATTGCAAACATTCAGGCCTATTAAAGGGTGCACACCAGTAAATAGACCCAAATCTATCCGCCGAGCTCATAAATACAAGTTATACCCTCAAAATATTCTATATTAGAGAGTTCCGAGAGCCATGAAATTAGGGAATTGAAGAGATATGGCAATGAACCTTTGGCCTGGACTTGGGGCTTCCAATTTTGAGCATTTTGGATGCAATTTAGCTCGAAAGTGGTGCTATTTTGCCATGTTAATTGTGGATGGACCGTTTTTCAAGATGGCTAATTTTCCGCTTTGGGGAAGTAGGGGTCGTCTTCTTTGGGTGAGAATATCTCGAAAAGTCAATGGTCAACCTACCAACAAATGTAAAGAACATGAAAGATGACATGTTGATCGTCATTTTTCTGTGCAGCTTTAAATACCTGTGAGAGTTCTGAGTATTTTTCAAAGAATTTTGAAGTATGGGAATTTAGCACTAGTGGCTATTGTAAGTTTAATACAGGGTTGAACCTGTATGGGAATCTTTGCGGTTCTCAGGTTTCGCACATCCTATATTCAATGAATATGATCATGCAGGTCGCTGGGATTGTGCTTGTCCAGACTACGTATCTAAAATCAACCACTGGATGGTGATGTTATGCTGACGACAAAGTTTGAATGTGTAAAGTGTTCTTTATTGAAAAGTTAATCAATGTAATAACCATTCATACTGACTTGATTCAATAGAATGTCTTCCATGTGGTCCTTTATCATCTCAATATATTATTATTCAACGTTGCCTAATTTACATGGAATGTCAAGTCACAGGGCATTGTTCAATCAATAGCATTGCCGAATACGCTTATTACCTGAAGCAGGTCGGTATGAGTATTTAAGCGTGGGGATTTCCAACAAGCTTCAGTCTTCGTCACGTGACCGAAAGCTGTAAAGCCTAAGTTTTGTCCTTATTTTTTGTACTTCAATTTATGTAATCTGGGACATATCACATGGTGGTCTTATCGTATTTTGAGTGTATTTACCTGTGAATTTGGGCTTACTCGAATTTGTGTTTGTGTATTTGTTTGCAAGCAAGTCGTTTATGTATGCACTAAATCGAATTGTTCATACTGTAAACTTCATGAAGATACGTACATGTGCTGTATCTGAACCTGTAAACTATTTAGAACACTGTGTTTGAACTGATTATCTCATTTATTGTAAACATATCATTGAATAATTGTTCCTGTGTTTAAACATTGTACTTTGTATCCTTTGATGTGTACTTTTTCCAATTTTTCTATGTAATTAATGCACTTGTTTGTAAATTATTTTCAGTTTCACCTGCCTATTTTATGGGCTGATTAATAAAATAAAGGGGAAAGTATCCCGGTGTCGGCTTGTCATTTTTTTGGTGTCACTCATACACACAGTTGCAGACGTTTTTCAAGGGTGTTCGCTGGGCCAGACTACCATCCATGTGGAGGGTTTGGTGATAGAGAATCAGCCAATGGATAGTGAAGTTGTGCTGTCGACACATTGTGGATGTGTAAATTCTTAAATTTGCAGATTAGGAACTTCGTATGTAGATTGATTGACGGCATTCCATGGTATGAAATATTAACTTTCTGTGAGTTTAATGGTTATAATATATTCACAAGATGAAAGATGTATTGATCCATTTCGAGAACCAGTGGGCGAGTGAAATGGGACATATTTTGTTTAAGTTTCACTAAGTGAATACATTTCTACTATCACACAAATTGAAGACGATCAACATTTTTTTTATATCGCTCAAACATAAATTATATAATTGTAAAGTGCATTTTAACACGTTTTCTTCAATAGAACACTTGGTTTGTTATTGTGGATTGTAGACTTTGTACGTTTTACCTTCTTTTCCTTCCTTCTTCACTTCCTATCCGCAAGGATTGTACAGCTCTGTAAAATCCTTGCTATCCGCACGGTTGGGGAAACACAGCCCTGGACTAAGGCTATTTTTGCTTTTTGTTTCTCACCTAAATTGGGTTAGATTTAAGTTTAAATTAATATTTCTCACCTGGAAGCTCTCCGTTCTAATGTCGTAAAGAGCACCAATCTTGGCTACTCTTCCCAGCGCTGATCTATGTATCAAGGACTGCAACATGTTGGCAGAGATGACGGGCGTCTGGATATTTCTGAAAGAACACGAAATTAGACAGGGTAAAATAAAAGCATTTAAACAAACAGTGGGTTGAAAGGGGGTGTTTGGCATTTTTTTCGCCGTTATATTTTCGTTGGACTTATTAGTCGAAAAAAACAGGAATAGTTATAAACTTTTTTCCGAAAAGTCACTCAATTGCTGCCGCAATACGATAGAATAATTGCATGTACATGTACATGTACAATCTCAAAAAGCCAGGACTGACCCACACTGTACGGGTCACACTTTTGCGTAAAATTTCAATTTGATATGTCTTTTGTTATCATATCAAATTGAAACTAGAATTGTGTGTTTGTTTTTATTATTATCATTATTATTACCATAAATGGTTTATTGGTAAAAATATTGACATGGCAGCCTGAGGGCTGAATTACATACAAATGTAAACCAAAACTATATAATATATATGCACATTTATAAGTGTGGGGAATCGCTTATTAATGTAATACTCGCTGCGCCCCAGAGGGCGCCCTTCCTTACGACCACTGTTCGCTATGCATGCACAGCACAATGCATGAAATCATGACAAGTTGGGAGCAAGATCTCCTTGGCTTTATATAGACAGTGACCGCTGCACTGTACATGTTATAAACATGCTATAAACTATTAGACTCGAGGCAGAAGCCGAGAAGTTGTTTCCTTATATGGCGTTGGGTTTGTTTGTTTGTATCTTGGTTGTATGGAGACTTGATCTACTGACCAAAATTAAACCACGTGCTGTTGAAGAAAACCCAAGAGATTGTCAATTACTGGTTGGTCCTCGGAGAAGTAATTGTTCACCCATGCATGGTGATGAGCTGCCGTAGTCACCCCCACCCCCCCCCCAGGAACATCGCAGTTCCTGACAAAAGTGCGAAGATGCGAAGGAGTGACCGCCTTGACATGGCTTCATATTTTTTTTAGATATTTCGAACCCCCAATGCCGATTGATAATTTTTTGTATTTGTGAAACTGGTTGTTATCCCTTTTGTGTGTGAAGGGTACATGCATGTACATGTACGTTTATTCATATTGATGGTATGTGTATTTGAAACTGTATCTGTGCTTTGGAAAAGGACGTAACTATATTCTTGTGTTTCCATGCTACATTTGCAGGAATTGTGTTACATACTCATGTAACTTGTAAGGTTATTCATTTATGAGTTATTTATCGAGTAAATTTAAAGCGCCGCTTAATTTTTGTAAAGGAAGGTTAGCTTTAATGTACATGTGCAACAACCTTTAGAGTTGTCGTTAGGAATTACCGGTAAGGACGAATCCCGCTCTTGCATCACTATACTCTGTCAAACCAATGGTACAATGGCCTTACCAGAGGGCCTTGCTGGAGCACTAACCAAGTCACATGAAGCCAAGGCGGAAACATTGGCCAATGCTTTTCAGGGGTTAAAATTTGCGCGGACTCCGAAGCTAAAACTTTTCCAAATTCAATTCCACCGATAAAATCAGATGACTGCACTCTCGGAGAGTGGCTCAAGGAGCTAGACTTCTACTCCCGACAGCTTGAGCTTACTGCGGCTGAGCAATTAGCAACTGCAATTGACCATTTAGGGGGAGTAGCCAAGGATGAAGTCACATGTAGTCCTCCTGAGGAAAGAGATACATTGCCAAAACTGATCGCTTTACTCAATAGGATGTTTGGCCCAGCCGAAAACATCGCGGCCTTAACCAGTACATTCTATGCACGTAACCAACGCGATGGTGAAACTTTGACCGAGTTTAGTCGAGCACTTATGTTGATCTAAGATAGCATGGAACAAGTTGCGGATGGTCCAGAGCGAGCAGCGCTTAAGTTGATGCGCGACAAGGCATTGAAAGAACAAATGGTGCAAGGCGCTTGCGATGCAGCAGTTCGTAGAGAACTTTCGTCGGTTGCAAATTGAACGGCCAGACATAACATTTTACAAGTTTAAGAAACACGTTTTGGGGTTGTTTCTTGGTGGAGAGGAGAAAGTGCCTCCCAAAAATAAATGCAGAATGTCCATAGCCTGTGATGAAGGGGCCACAGAGGCGGGAAAGCAACCGTGATTCGCTTGGGGTTCAGGATGTCTTGACCCAATTAGTGGCTTCTTACAAGCTGGTAGCCTATACGTTAGAGTCATTGTCACAGCATCAGGCTGCGACAAGTAGCCAACTTACAGAGTTGACAGAGGTAAGGTTTCGACAAAAATGTTGGATAAAGCAATAATGACAGGGAGTGGTAGATCTATGATCATCTGTGATCATTGTAAGAAGCCGGGTCACTACGCAAAGAACTGTTGGCAGAAAAATCCAAGCTCAAAACTTGCCCAACCTGAGGTTAAACCTCAGGAAAACTAGACCCCTCCGTCATTGTGGGCACTATGGCGGAGGGATGCACTGTGCCTAAACAAAATTCTTCTGAGTTAGTTGGGTTAAATGAAGATAGTGTAGCAGTAAGGCAGGGGAATGAGTCTGAAAATGCTATCCTTCATGTCAAGAGAAAGAGTTAATAGCCACATTAATTGCAGATAGTCCCAGTGCTTATATAGTAATAGGAAATGTGAGAGCCAGTTGCATCATAGATACTGGTGCTGAGACTTCCTTAATTAGCTATACATTCTACAAAGAACACTTGGCTGACAAGGTAGATGGTTTAGGAACAGTGGGGACATTCATTAGACTTGTAGGTGCTAATGATCTAGAAATCCCGATTGCAGGGTACCTTGAAATTCCCATTGAAATTTTTGGATTCACGGTCCGATAGCCCGCCTGATGAAACACTTGAACGGCGTAAACAGTATCAAATACTCCTTGGATGTAATATTTTACGGACGATCGCCTCCTTGGGTGTCAAGCCATTAGGGTCATGTAGGGACGAGTGGGGCGTTGTTTTAAGATGGTTCATGATTAGAGATAAGCAGGGATGTGGTATAAATAGGCCAATTGAACCAACACTTGGGGTTGTTGGGGATGTTTGTGTGGTCCATGAAGAGACCATCCTTCCTTTGTCGGCCAGATACGTAACCTGCAAATTGTTAGAACCATTAGTTTCCTTGGATAGAACCATTACTTTCCCAGGACCATGAAACGTCTGTTCTTGCCCATAATCAACCGTCAAATGGGCAACTACCTAATGGAAAATTTGCATCTCATGAGTATGTTGAGGTACTTGAAGGCGTACAGGTGGTACACACTTCACCATTTACCGTTTTGGTGTGTAATCATGGTACTTACCCTGTTGTCCTCCCACCGACTTGCAGTGTAGTAGTTGCCGTAGGCATCAGGGAAGTGGATGAAATGTGTGTTCATCTTTCCTCGGATGGACTGCAGGTATCAGTTGGACATGTTGTTGTAAATGACACGGATGACTGTCTGGGCCCAGTTGATGACGAATCAGGCACGGTGCCAGCTGATGTTGATGCATCCGTGGAGTCCAGGGAGTTGTTTGTGTTTCCTGATGGTTCATCGTACCATCTCCCTCCTGGTATAAGTTTGAAGGAGTTTGACTCTGGTGATGCTCTCCAGGTTGCTGAATTGATCAGAAAGCATGAGAAGGCTTTTTCTTTGGCGCCTCTAGATCTAGGGAAGTGTACGTTGATTCCCCACGAAATCCATTTTGGACGAGCCAGTTTGGTTGTCAAATAGGCGTATCCCTCCACATTGCGTGCCAGAAGTCTAGAAACTGTTGCAGGACTTGTTAGATAAAGGGATCACACAAAAGTCATCCAGTCCCTATGCCAGTCCCACTGTGCTAGTGCGGAAACGAGATGGCTCTATTAGGCTATGCATTGACTATAGAAAGCTAAATTCTCTCACCGTGAAGGATGCTTTCCCACTTCCTCGCATTGAGGAAACGCTGGAGGCATTGGGAGGATCCCACTTTTTCTACTCACTTGATATGGCACACGGATACTTCCAATTGATGACGCATCCAGAGTCTGTTGACAGAACTGCTTTTCGAGTCCCATGGGGGCTGTTTCCATTCGACCAGATGCACAGGGACTCTGCAACAGACCCAGTACGTTTCAACAAACAGTTGAATTGATATTTGGGGACATGAACATGTCTAAATTGATACTTTATCTTGATGACATTCTTGTCTTCTCTAGTACATTTGAAGAACACCTAAAGAGGTTGGGTGTTGTATTCGATCGACTTTTCGAACATGGTCTAAAGTTGAAGGGCCAGAAATGTCTCTTCTTTCGGCGAGAAGTAGAACATCTTGGGCACATAGTCAGTGAGAGTGGGGACTCGGTGGATCCGGAAAAGGTACAGCGAGTAGCAGACTGGCCGATTCAGAGCAATGTGGGGGAACTCCAATCTTTTCTCGGGCTTGCCTCCTACTACAGGCGTTTTGTCCCAGATTTTGCTTCAATAGCAAAACCATTGCATAAGTTAACGGCCAAGGTAGAGACAAAAGTAGGGAACCTGCCGTCTGGGTTATTGTGGTCTGATGAGGCTAACAAAGCGTTCTGTGAGCTGAAGAAGCTGATGTGCTCAGCCCCTGTGCTCGCCTATCCAAACTTTGATAAGGAGTTCATAGTCGAGGTCGACGCCTCACTCCAAGGGCTTGGGGCTTGTCTTTTGCAAGCCGATGACCATGGAGCGCTCCACCCTATTGCATATGCCAGTAGAGGTCTGCGAGGGCCCGAGAAGAATTATTCGGATTTTTCAAGCTTCAAGCTTGAACTTCTCGCCCTTAAATGGGCTGTCTCCGAGAAATTCCGAAAATATTTACTAGGTGCTCATTTCACGGTATACACAGACAACAACCCTGTTTCGCACCTCCAAAATGCGAAATTCGGGGCCACGGAACAGCGCTGGGCTGCGCAGCAGGCGCAATTTAACATGACCATAAAGTTCCGGTCTAGGAAAAAAAACAAATGTGCAGATGCACTCAACCGACGACCAGTGGAGGTTGCAGAGATAGCTGAAATGGCAAATGACTGTACCTCAGTCCCTTGTGAGATGCGACCTAAGGAAGTTGTAAAAAAATCAGATGAAAATTGTGCTGCTGGGATTGATGCGCCCCGGTCGTCAGCAGTCCTGCCGTCTTTCTCCCACACTGAACTAGCTTCAATGCAAAGGGAAGATGAACAACTAGGAGAACTTTGGAAACTCTGGGACTCCAAGTGGCAACCTGATGTGCCCAGACCAGGTGTAAATACCCCTGGTATTGTAGGCTGGAACAAACAGTGCACTAAAGTAGTTGAGCGGAGGGGTGTGCTTTACAGACAAGTGGAGGACAAGGCTCGTGATCCAGTGTACCAGATGTTAACTCCAAAGAAGCTGCAGAGCCAGATGTCGGAGGCCGCACATGATAATTGGGGACACCATGGTGTGAACTGCACACTGGGGCTCCTACGTTCTCGCTGTTTCTGGCCTGGGATAACTAGGCAAGTGCGACAACATGTTCGAACCTGTTTCAAGTGTGCTGTTTCTAAGCCTCCGAACCCCACTGTCAAAACCCCACTTTCTTAAATTAGATCGTGGTCGTCAGGGCTACGAGGATGTCCTTGTCATTACGGATGCGTACACCAAGTACGCTGCCGCCATACCTTGTAAAAACCAAACTGCTCCTGGTGTAGCCCGTGCTCTAAGAGACCACTGGTTTTCATGTTACGGTGTTCCTATGAAGATCCATTCTGACCAGGGGCGAAACTTTGATGGTACCCTTGTGAAAGAGCTATGCCAGCTTTACAGTGTCAAGAAAACAAGAACCAGCCCGTACCACTCTCAGGGGAATGCCCAAACTGAGCGTTTCAATACGACCCTGTGCTCCCTGAAGTCGCTTGATGCAAGGAATCATAAAACCTGGCCAGAAGGCTGCCACACCTTCTGTACATTTATAACAGTACTCCACACAGTGTAACTGGGGTAATAACCCCCTACACCCTCCTTCTTGGGAGAGAGCGTACTATTTCACTAGACCATCTTATTGGAAACGCAGAGCAAGATTTAACAGAGACTTTTGCACAGCAACAAGCTCGACTACTTGAACGGATGTCTAAAGTTGTTAAAGACCGCCTTGAGAGAGCTGCAGGGTATAACAAACAGCGATACGACAAGCGGTGCAATAGTGAACCACTCTCTGTTGGCAGCCGTGTTCTTGTCAAGAAATGTGCATTCACGGGTCGTCACAAACTTAGTGACCGGTTCTATCAAGAGGCACATGTGGTGATAAAATCCAACAAGAGTCAGGATGTGTATGCAGTTAGACCAGTTTTGGGTTGGCAAGAGAAGTGGCTTAATAGGAAACTTCTCATCTTGGATCCTCGTAACCCATTAAATGAGGTTGAGAGTTGCCCTGAAATGTTTCCTCTGTACGATTCTCAGTCTAACTCAGATCAGGAAGACAGCTTGTCTGATGAGGCTCATTCTAGTTCCGAGTCTTCATCCGAAGATGAACTTGTGGTAATCCCCAAAAATACTTTCATTTCTAATCCACAGGTTCCTGCTCAAGACAAACCACAGCACCAAGCTAACATCACAAGGAGGCACAGTGAGCCTATCCCCTCATTCAGCGCCCGTAAGACTAGAAGACAGTCATCCCAAAAGACCCCTGAGGAGATCTCATCGACTGACCAAGAAGAAAACTGGGTTGCCTACTGCAGTAACGTAGATTTCACCAGTTACTAGCTCTCAACTGAGAGGGATGCCTGTGTACAACAGGACAGAGGTTTTACCCTTAATACCTAGCTTAGTGTGACACCTAAGTTTAAAGTCAATACCTACCTTCCAAGGATTGATATAGTATCGTGGAACCGCTGTACCCTCGAGAGGTTGCCTGTGTAGAACAGGACAGAGGTTTTACCTCTAACCAGGCTGGCAAGCCTATTACTTTATGGATTTTGTTTGAAGATACGGTTAATAAGTGTTTATATTTTGTTTATTGATATATATATATATATATATATATATATATGTAATATCATATAGAGTAGTATTCAGTTGCTTTCTTGCCATATTGTTCCAATCTTGTTTGAACGCGATGAAAAGGAAGGTGGTTTATATATTTGGACATTCGTTTCCTGCAAGATTGTCCCAAGAAGCGCTTGCGCGTCATTTGTCCACTGGAGACATGTTAGGAGTCCCTGATAATTATAATGTTCTAGTGGAGGGACACCCTGGCTTGACATATACACCCGAATGTTTGATCATCTCGATCACTATTTGCCGAAAATGCAGGCACTTGACAACATTGACATGCTATGTATTGACATGGGTACCAATGATATCTCAAACAAAGACTCCACACCGCTGGTGGTAGTTGAACAAGCCCTGAGGTGTTTAGACATGTTGGCAGTGCACAAAATTCATCCCAAATGCATGGTTTTCCTTTCTGTCCTACAAAGGTCGCAGATAAGCAGGCGAAATCAGGTTTCAATCCAAACCTTCAAGGCATCGCGCGCGTACGGCGTTATAATTCCTTACTAGGTCGAGCCCTAGCGAGAAGATCAAGTGTGAATCTTTGTTCTTAAAGGAAAATTAACCACTCAAGGTATTTTGTAGATGGTTGTCACCTCACCTTGGAAGGGATGAAAAAATACATCCGTCAAGTTCAGGGCATAATCACCCGTTATTGCAATTAGTGATGTAAGAGTGTTGCATTCAGCGATTTACCCATGTAAGATTTGATTTGCTGTGATATTTGCTCTCTTGGAGAGACAATGAACGTCCAGCACCCATGCCATCATAGAGTTTCCTTACCAGTAGACATTTGAAGTTTTACACATGCATACACATTAAGAAAAAAAAGTATAATCTTATAAAATAAATCTTATAATTTGAAGTGTTATCCACATTTTTGTCAAAAGGTGAATCAATATGTAAACTTGCTACTCAAGTAAGGACCTTGTTGATGCAATGTTTGATGTTGACTTTTTCATGTCAAGAATTATCTTGTTGAAAGAGTTTGTTTTGTAAAACATAGGTTTTTTTCTTGTTAGAGTTTTTAATTGTATTATCCTTCAGTATCCTATCATAAAAGAGAAGGGAACTGTGATATTAATACTATAAAAAAAAGAGGAAAAAATGATCTTCCAAGTGAAGTGTAACCTAGTTGATTATGGCCCATTTGACACTTCGTCATTGTTAACTTCAGAAAAGAGCAAAAAGCTTCAAATCACTTGTGTATGAGTTCAGTGTCAAAGGTTGTCAAATATTTTAAAATTTCGATTACATCAGTAGTAATAGGAAACCATTATTAATAGTTGAAACAAATGTTTCTGTGGTTATTAATTGATTAATCTTAAACGTGTCTCTCTAGAACTTTTATAAG